CCGTTTTTTTCCTTTCTTTAGAATAAAAATCAGAAGTTTTTGTTAACAAAATCATGCAGGTCTTAAATATTCTACGAAAATCGATCCGAAGAAGAATACGGCGATTCAGTCGTAGTCTCCGTAACCTGTGTCATATCCTGATCCAATGACTCTTCCTTCATCTCGAAAATCTTTTATTTTTTAAGTATTATAGCTTTTTACTGCAGTGAATATGAATTAAATTCCTAATAAAACAGTTTTTACTCTTTGAATATTGGAAAAATCGTGCGTCGTAAAATGCGATGCAGCGTACGCATACACCCTGACGCGCAAATGCACTCGAACGGTTGGCGCACCGACCGATCGGTCAGCTCGGTCGGCTGTCGGTTGGCTGGGTCGGTGGTCGGTCGGCGGTCGGCAATTTTTGACCGACCGAGGTTCCAGAGATTTCGAAATTTCCAGAATTTCAGAATCTCAGAATCCCAGAATCTCAGAATCACAAATTTGAGATATCAAAACACAAAAACAAGAGAAATCTAAAGTTTTTTATTCAACAGAAATCTAAAAATTCTCAATTCCACATCTTCTGAATTTGTTTTATATGACCATCCTGTGACTGTTTCTCATGCGAAATTCCAATTAAATTTTGAACTCGACTCGCGTGGCTACATCGGATACGGTAGATCAGCAAAAGTGGGAGGAGCATGGCAAAAATTGGAACTGTCTGGAAAGCACTATTTGCTGGAAATTTTGAAAACCTAAATTCTGGTATCCTGAGGAACATTTTAGTGAAAAATTGCCGTTCTAGCTATTCTAGGAGCCAAGATATAGCCATTTGAAGTTTTGGAGAGACGCAGGCAGCTAGAGCCAGAGACGCAGTGTGTCTCGTCGTCTGCGTCTCTCCAAAACTTAAAATGACCATATCACGGCTCCTCGGAAAGCTAGAAAGCTGGTGTTTGAAGCAAAATTATTCTCAGAAAGTCAGAAATTACTATGAAAACGAAAACTTTAAAAAATTGGAAAACTCACATAGAGCCAAACAACCCAAAAATAAAAATCAGCCAGTATCAAATAGTCCCTTAAATTTCTCAATAACGACACGCCGACTGAATAAATGAACATCAGGACGAACAGACACACAGACAGAAAACAAATCGTTTCTGTTGAATCGATTTGTTGACGTTTACGGAATCGAGCGCCAACTTTGAAACGGATTCTGGAAAAAAACTTGTTTGGATTTCTGGATTTTTGTATACTGTCTAATTTCTAGTTTTCTAAGAATCATTTTGATTTAAAAACCAACGTCCTAGCTATTCTGGGAGCTGAGATATAGGTACTTAAAGTTTAAGAGGCTAGAGACGCAGACAAGGAGACACTCTAACCGTCTGCGTCTCTCCAAAGCTTTGAAGCGATGTATCTCGGCTTCTAGATGAGCTAAAAAGATGAAAATTAAACAGAAAAGCTGAAAAATGAGCATGCTTTATAACAAAATAAAATTTTTAAAATTTGGAAAAAAAATTTTTTTTTCGATTTTTCACAAAAACTTTCAAACTGAATATACTATGAGTAAAGTATAAAATTTCCTCAAGTTTTCTAAAAAAATGAACGCTCTAGCTCTTTTGAAAGCCGAGATATAGGCATTTCAAGTTTCAGTGTCTGCGTCTCTCATGATGCGCGAGAGACGCAGTGTGTCTCGTTGTCTGCGTCTCTTCCAAAACTCAAAGCACTGTATCTCGGCTCCTGGACGTCCTAGAACGCTCATTTTTTCACCAAAGTTTTTGAAATTTTAAGCTTAACCAAAAATTGCATTTCGGAAAAAATTTCAAAAGAAAATTTTTTTTTTGAAATTCTTAGAAAGTTTTGGGTTTTTATATTAACTAATTTCTGGCATTTTGAGAATCCTTTTGATTAAAAGTTCAGCGTTTTAACTCTTCTTAAAGCCGAGATACGGCTATTTGAAGTTTTGAAGGGACGCAGACAGTTAGAGTTAGAGACGCAGCGTGTCTCGTTGTCTGCGTCTCTCCAAAACTTTAAATCGTTGTATCTTGGCTCAAAATTGAGCTAGAAAAGTCAACTTTTTTGGAAAGTGTAAGGAATTTCTCAGAAAATTTGAGAATATAAAAATTTTCTGACAAAAAACTCGGGAAAGTTCGAAAAAAGAGCTCCTAGATGACCTTGAAACCCAATTCTTCTACTTACGAATACTCCAATTTCTTATTGTATCTCATTAACCATAAAGCCACACAGAAATTGAATAAAGTGAGTACGGTGCAAACTGCAAAGTATACTGTAGACCGTCTAGCGCTAGCTTTTGGAATCATAAAACATCCCAAGACGGCCCCATCCAGCGGGTCATCAAATAATAGTAATGGACCAGTAATTCCACTAAAGAATAAAATGAAAAATAGAAGAATTAAAGAGTATTTGATGGATTTTTTGGATTTAAAATTTTTGGAAAAATTCGAAAAAAGGCGTTCAATAATCAGCCCAGTTTGTCCATAGATCATTCCAGATGTACAGAAGAGCATGAATTTATAAATTGGAGCACATTGAGCTTCGGTTTTCAGAAAATTAGAATCTCCGCGAAATTCCAGATTCTTCAAGACCAGAATCATTGCTTCATAGGAATAGGAAATTTGGAAAAAGTTGGCGAAACATAAATTTTGGAATAGCAAAATTTTTGTGGACCATTGGAATATTGATTTTGTCAAAATCAAATTTATCGCTGAGAATGTAGAGATAAGGGTTATCAGCGCGGCGAGGAGATCAACGATTTGGGAGATTAGAAAATTTGAGCTGAGCAATCGATCAATGTCGTCCGGGGTGGCGATGGTTAGGTTGGAGGCCATGGGATCTGGAAATTTTGGAGAGTTTGGGATTTTTGGGGAAGTGAATCTATAAAATGAGATTCTGAGATTCTGAAATTCTGAAATTCTGAAATTCTGAAATTCTGAGATTCTGAAATTCTGAGATTCTGAGATTCTGAGATTCTGAGATTCTGAGATTCTGAGATTCTGAGATTCTGAAATTCTGAGAATCTAAGATTCTGAGATTCTGAGATTCTGAAATTCTGAGATTCTGAAATTCTGAGATTCTAAGATTTTACGATTCTGAGATTCTAAGATTCTGAGATTCTGAGATTCTGAGATTCTGAGATTCTGAAATTCTGAGAATCTAAGATTCTGGACTCTGAGATTCTGAGATTCTGAAATTCTGAGATTCTGAAATTCTGAGATTCTGAAATCCTAAGATTCTGAGATTCTGAGATTCTGAGATTCTGAGATTCTTAGATTCTGAGATTCTGAAATTCTGAGATTCTGGGATTCTGAGATTCTGAGATTCTGAGATTCTGAGATTCTGAGATTCTGAAATTCTGAGATTCTGGGACTCTGAGATTCTGGACTCTGAAATTCTGAGAATCTGAAATTCTAAGATTCTGAAATTCTGAGATTTTGAGATTCTGAGATTCTGAGATTCTGAGATTCTGAGATTCTTAGATTCTGAGATTCTGAGATTCTGAGATTCTGAAATTCTGAGATTCTTGTCAATTCCGAATTTTCGATTTTCTGAATTTTAAAATTCGCCTTGGCGTCACTTCGAAACCGCGACACTTCGAAACATGTTATTTCGAAACCAGTCATTCCGAAACCAGCCAGCTCGAAACCGAAAAATGAAATTGGAAATTGGAAAAACTACTTAAACCGAAAGAAAAAAATTTGCAGTAGTTGCGAAACGACTGGTTTCGAAGTGTCACGCAGTTCCAAAATGACCGGAGCCCAAAATTCCAGAACTTCAGATATATTCTGAATTTTCTGAATTTTAGAAAAAAAACATCCAAAATTCCAGATCTCAGACAAAAAGAAAAATTTAATGGCTGGAAAAAAAACTCCGAGCTGAAAAAATGAAATCACGTCTGAAAATGGTTAAATTAGGTTTCCAGGTGAAAAAGAACAGAAAATTTCATTTTTGTCCCCTGGAAGAAGAACAATATAGTCAGAAAACGTTCAAAAATTAATTTGATAAATTTGACAAAAATCGAAGTTTTGAATTTTCAAAAAAATCCAAAAAATCTTTTTTTTTTTCGAAAAATGTGAAAATACCAAACCAGACAATAACAAATACACCGGTCCATTCAAAACAGCTGAAAAATAAATTCTGAGAATTCTGATGTTTTGTTCTCAAAAAAGAAAAAAAAAACAAATCAGAAATCAAAAACTGGAAATTAAAAATTTCGAAAATTTAAAAATTTCAGAATTTCAAAAAATCTGGAATCACAGAATTTTGTGAGTTCAAACGATTCAATCTTTTTTTCAGAATAACAAAATGAATTTCTGAGAAATCGGAGCTTCTGACGGCTCTAGACAAATGAAGGAATCTTTGGGGAATTCTGAAAATTCAGAAAAAAAAATTTAATCAAATTTTCGAAAACAAGTTTTTGAGATTTTTGAAATCAATCTTAGAATCTCAGACATTCATAATCTCAGAATTTCAGAATCTCAAAATTTTCAGAATCTCAGAATCTTAGAATCTCAGAATCGTAAAATCTTAGAATCTTAGAATCTCAGAATTTCAGAATCTCAGAATTTCAGAATTTGAGAATCTCAGAATCTCAGAATTTCAGAATCTCAGAATCTCAGAACCTCAGAATCTCAGAATTTCAGAATCTCAGAATTTCAGGATCTCAGAATCTCAGAATCTCAGAATCTCAAAATCTCAGAATCTCAGAATTTCAGGATCCCAGATTCTCAGAATCTCAGAATCTCAGAATTTCAGGATTTCAGAATCTCAGAATCTCAGAAACTCAGAATCCCAGAATCTCAGAATCACAGAATCACAGAATCTCAGAATCTCAGAATCACAGAATTTCAGGATCTCAGAATCTCAGAATCTCAGAATCTCAAAATCTCAGAATCTCAGAATCTCAGAATCTCAAAATTTCAGGATCTCAGAATCTCAGGATCTCAGAATCTCAGAATCTCGGAATCTCAGAATCTCAGAAATTCAGAAATTCCGAAAATTCAGAAATTCAGAATATCCATTTTTCTTGATTTTTCATTCCAATGTTCACTTTCTTGTTCAGACATCAAAACACGTAATTTCGTTTCTTTGTCACCAGAAAACGGAAAAAAAATTATGGGTTAGTTTGATTTGTCTGAACAAGAAAAAAGGCAGTGTCATAAATGATTTTTGGAGTATTTTCTTCTTCTTCTTTTTTCGATTTTAGAAGTCTTTGAATTTTTGAACTTCTTTAAAGTTTCCGGATTTTTGCAGTTCTATTCATTTTTTTTTCGAACGAGTTTTTCAGAATTTTCCGATTTTTTTTTTGAAATTTTTGGAATTTATGATTATTTTGGGTTTGGGAGTTTTCAGGAATCCAAAAATTCTGATATTTTCAGAATCTATGTTTTTTTTTCAGAATTTTTCCCACACTTTTTTCTAACTTTCAGTATTTTTTAATACTTTTTCTTTCAAAGAAATTTCTTTATTTTCCAGTTCTCGAAAATGAAAAAAATGTTATCAACCAGCAAGCTGGTGCGCCTTCGGCGCGATTTAATTTAGTTTTTACTGGCTTGTCGCTTCACTCCTAATTTTTTCTTAAAGGTGGGGGGACAGGAGATTTTTCGTAGTTTTTTTGTAGCTAGAGTATGCATTCTACCGTGACGGTGTACAACGCTTAATGTCACTCTGCGTACAGCTGTCGTCCTCGCCTTTATGTATGCAATCGGGCGTGCGCTTTCTCTTTGCCCGCGTGGCCCAGTCGGTAGCGGCGCCGCACCCTCAATCATCGCCCTCACAAGTTCAACTCCCTCCTCGAGGGGCATCTTTGAACGGAATTTCGAGAACATTATTTTTTTCATGTCCCCCAACCTTTAAGGGGTCACGTAGATCTATATTTCTTTTTCAAGTTTTTCAAAAGTTGACAGACTGACACCGGCACGGACAGACGCCTCTTAATAAGGAAGATTTTATCAGAATTTATCTGATAATTATTGGAAAAATTTTTTTTTTTCAAGAAATGATTTTTGGGTTTGGCTGAAAATTTTTTTTTTTTACATTTTCAGAATGAAGCGTCAGAAGAAACTTTTTTTCGAGTTTTGATTTTTTGAAGTCTGGAATTTCTGATTTTTTTGACTTTATGAACTTTTGAAATTTTGTTTAGAGAGTTAAAGTTTTCAGAATTTGTAAATTTTTGAAATTTAGGAACACAGGGATCCAGGGACTTTTTTCTATATTTTTGCGAATTTTTCGAAACCTTCAAATTCTTTAATTTTAGAATCCTCCATCCGGAACTTTGATATTGTTTCATTTTTTTGGATTCTGAAAACTTTGGAAATTTCAGATGACGTCACTAAACGTATCTTCTTCATGTGCTTCTAAAATCCAAGTGACTCATCTCTCCAGCTGGAACTACCGTATCTCTGCCACATGTGCTCTGTCTGCAATCCTAGCAACCATTCTAATTTCAGTTTTCGCTATAAAATGGATTTTGCTGAAATCCACATTTCAGTCGTCCACAAAAATCATATTATTACTAAATATCGGATGTGCGAACTTGCATCAAATTTTATATGCTGTTTTGTCGGTAAGGCGGGCTTTAGAGAAGCTAGAAAATTGGTTTGTGCCTCAAAAAATTTTTGAAAATGTCAGAAATTCAAAAATATACAAAATGCAAAAAGAATCAAGTTTCTAGGCCGACTAAAAGCGCAGATACAGCGCTTTGAATATTTGAAGAGACGCAGACAGTTAGCGTGTCTCGTTGTCTGCGTCTCTCACCTTCAATACTTCGAAGGACTGTATCTCGCCTCCTAGATGAGCTAGAAGCATGAAAACTTTACAAAAAAAAAGAGAATTTTCCGTATAATGTTTCAGGATTTTGAAAATTCCCAAAAAAAAAAATAAAAAGAAATCGGTTTAACATTTTTAACCAAAATTGCGACAAATTTGATATCATCCGGTTGGGGTAGCGATTTTACGTATTTCGATTAAAAATAAGTCAAATTGGACCACGGAGAGCCAAGATATTGCACTTTGAAGTTTTGAAAAGACGCAGACAGTTAGAGTGTCTTAATGTCTGCGCCTCTCGCCTCCGAAACTTTAGAGCGCTTTAACACAGCTCGCAGAAGGCCTAGAAAGCTGGATTTAGTTCTAAAAGATGTCTTCAATTTTGTACTTTCAGCCGAATCCAGAAATTTCAAAATTTCCAGATCGACATGGTCTACAAAGGGTTCTTCCTCACTGATCAGCCATGCGAATGGCTGATCACCGAAAGCGACTGCGTACCGTATACCGTACTACTGTATGCCGGCATTTCTGGAATGTTCTATTCACAAACTGGCGTCTTGATAGAGAGGTGGGACACTCATTTTGGAAAAAAATATTTTGGATTTGTTTTTCAAATTACTGTAACTTTATTAATTTTCGATCGATTTTCTTGACATTTTTTTCAAAATGTGTGAAATTTTCTCTATTTTTGAAAACCAAAAAATCGATCAATCCAAATTTCCAGAGGCATCGCGACATTCGCTTCCAACTACACCACCGCTCTCAGCCGTCGAATCGGTGTCACCATATCTACCGTAGTCGTGTTGCTCAGCTTTATAACCTACCGTACTATTATGTGGGATGATCCTCTTGACGGTTACGTTCTCACATGCTTTGTGCCTTCAGCTCATAGTGCTCACCGAGCCAACTGGTTTTTGTTTATTTGTGTTTGCTTGACATTTTTCAATTTGATTGCTTCAATGGCTGTTATGTACTACAATAAGGTGTTGGAATACAGGTGAGAGGCTTTAAAACAATTTTCTAGAAAACTCTTTTGGAGTTTGGTCAAAATTTGAGAGCTCTAGCTCTTTTAGGAGTCGAGATATAAATGTTTGAAGATTTTTTTGATTTTTTTTAATACTTCGGCTTATGGAGAATGCGCTGTAACCTTAAAACTCAAAATTTCACACGTTTCGACTCAAGAAACAAGCTTCTAGCCCAACCAGAAGTCGAGATACAGTCAATTCCAGTTTTGAAGGCGAGAGGCGCAGACAACGAGACACTCTGACTGTCTGCGTCTCTTCAAAACCTCAAAGCACTGTATCTATGCGCACAGTGGTCCGCTTTGACTGGTTGTTTGACAAAAATATATAAAGTTCATTGGCAAATACACTGATATTAAAATTTTAAATAATTTTGGGAAATTCAAAAAACAATTTTTTTGGTTTTTAAAATTTTCAAAAAGCAGAATATTTTCAATTCTATTTCATTGAGTTTGGTAAAATTTTCACTCTTCTAGCTTATCTGGGAGCTGAGATACGACGCTTTGAAGTTTTGAAGGGACGCAGACAGTTAGAGGGACTCGTTGTCTGCGTCTCTCGCCTCCTAAACTTCAAGCAGCTGTATCTCGACGCTTAGTGGTCCGTTTTGACTGGTTTTTCCACGAAAATACCTAACATTGCTTGGTTAACCCAATGATACCAAGTTTGACAAGTTTTTGAGAAATTCGAAAAATCCAATTTTGTAATTTTTCAAATATTTATGAATTCGGAATATTTTCGACAAAATTCCATCAATCTCTGTAAAATTGTTATGTCTCTAGGACATGTAGAAGATGAGATATAGTCATTAGAAGTTTAGGAGGTTAGAGACGCAGCGTGTCTCGTCGTCTGCGTCTCTAGCCTTCAAAACTTCAAACGCCTGTATCTCCACTCCTAGATGAGCTAGAAACTTGATTCTTGATCCAAAATGTGTAAAATGTCAAGAATTTTAAGTGGAGCACACTTTTTGCTCACCTCTCAAAAATTTTCCAGAATCCGCTACAAACTACGCGAA